ATACATATAATTATAATATCATATGTAAATATAAATAAAGATGAATTTATAAAAGTATTAGAAAGATTACAAGAGGTAGGGTACAATGGATTGACCTCAGATATACGTTTAGGGTGCCTAACTAATTTCGAAATATAAATTAATAGATCATAAAAATGGTTACGTAACGAGAGTCAGGAAATCTACGAATAGTCACGTAACGTAGATCATTTCATTTATTCGCCTTTTAAGTTATTTTCTACAATTTTATTTATTAATCCAATAATTAAGCAAAATTTTCCTTCATTGAACAATAAAAACAAATTATATATGTATATATATGTATCATATTGATTGATAATATTATTAAAGAAAAAACAAAACAAAAAAAATGATAAAGAGAGAAAACATATAAATAAAAATGAAAATCAATTTCGTAATAGCTGATATTTGTGTTGGATCATAAATATTTTGAAACATTTTTTTTTTTTTTTTTAAAATCAATAATAGAGAGAGAGAGATAACATTTAAATTAAAATATTTTTTTTTTTTTTAGTTGAATACATTAAACATTTATATCGGTCATTTACTTTACAAAATACTTACCATCAAATGAATTACTACAAAAATATATATTGATGAAATAAATGAATAGTATTTCATAAGTATGAGTATAATAATATGATTCTCATATAATCCTCTTTTTCTCGTTTTATTTTATCTAATCTCTTTATCTATTACGTTCGTGGAAAAATTTATTTGATTTCATTATTGAATCTTGCTTAGTTGTTTGTTTGATAGGCTTGTTTTAACACACTACTACTACTACATGTTACGAATATAAAATAAACAGTGATGCGTTATTACAAGCGAAAGTGCAATTCAGCAATAACCTTGTTGCTGCAGATCATAAATTAGCTTGGACGGTCTTACAAAGTAGGTCGACTAATAATAATACAAAAAAAAAATCATAATCGAAGAGAATCGATTATTAATTGCTTGTTAACATATATTTTTATATTATATAGAAACTCGTGCAATGACCATTTATGATACATGAAGTCGAATTAGAAATACAATTTTTAATTTTACAATTTTTGTTTTTGTTTTTTTTTTAATTTTTTTTCTTTTTTGCAATTTATGTATTATCGAACCATCTCTCTCCATCTTTCTCTTTTTCATTTGTCTCATTTCTCATTTTATATATAAATAAGATTATACGTAATAGTATATATATATATATATATGCATATTAATGTTATCATCGTTAAATGCATGTTGGAAAATTTATTGCAATGTTTATACAGGAACATGCACTCACATACATTTTTTGTTTTGTTTTGTTTTGTTTGTTTGTTTGTTTAAAGCATGAATTATTCTCATTAATATTGTTAGAGCATGAAATCACATACATTTTCTTTTGTTTATTTTTATATCTTATTTTTTGTTTATTTTATTTTATTTTTTTTTGTTTTTGTTTTTGTTGTTGTTATCACAACTACCATATTTATTGAAATTGTAGCGACGATAATGAAAAAATAACGTATACAAATAAACTATGAAATAGTACGATCACTCTCGTGCATTTAGCTACAGGTGATCTGGTGAAATATAAAAATTAATGGGTGTTGTTGTTGTTGTTGTTGTAGTGTAAACTCTTTTAGCTTTGATCCATCGCGTTAGTTTCATTCACGTTATTACCAGTACAGTCTTTCTGAATGATTTCAAATAAGGGTTGTAATTCTGCCGTTGTCTTGATTTGCGATACAAATTCACTTAACGATGGATTTTTATCTGGAAAATAAAAGAAAGAAAATGAAATCATTCAATTCATTAATTAAATCGTATTTTCTTTCTTTTTTATTTTCTCTTATGCATACCAGCATCTGGAATAGTAAGTAATGCAGCAACAGCTCTAAGTGCAGAACGTTTCAATTCATCCTGTTTCTCATATTCTTGTTTAACCGAGTTAGCTTTGACCTTCATAGTACAGGTACTCTTTAATGGTTCCACTAATCGTTCTAACCCTACAATTATAAAGTGTTAGAATTATTCTAGAAAATTATTATAAATAAGAATAATATTGAAAACAATTTACTTTGTAAAACTGCAGTTGGGCACAATTGTGCTAAACGAGCAGTCATCAAATAGGTCAACATCTTTATGTCGTAATGATCTCGAAGACCATTTTCAACGTGATTCAAGAATTCGAAAACATCTAATCGATCAAGACAAGAGTCCAGTAATGTGTACATGCATTCGAATGCTGCTTTCCTTAAATCCAAACCGTCGTCAACTGTATGTTTGAATGGGCCCATTTCTACTTCTCTGATTAATTCTTTCTATATATGTAATATATAAAAGAAAGAATATTAGTTTGATTAAAAGTATTTCTTTTTGTTTTGTTTTTTTCTTTTTTCTTTTTTTCGTCTTGTCATTACCTTTATTTTGGTTTCTGTGTAAAGATGTGGTAAAACGGAATCTAATAAATCTCTGATTAACATAGGCTTATTGTGTGCTGCTGAATTGAAAGCAACTAATGCCACCCTTCGTACATTCAAATCTGGATCTTCCAAGGCAACCAAAAAGTGTTCCATGCATTGTTTCAACATAACGTCGATTGGTTGAGGCTTTACAAATATACATATATATATATATATATATATATGTATAATAAAATAATTTGTTAATGATCAAATTGATGAATAAACATTTACCTGATCTGAAATGGTAAACTTAACAGCTGTGACTATTGTAGTTCTCATAAGAGCAGATGGTGATTTTAAAGAATCTTGTAACGTAGGTAATAATCTAGTTGGATCTATTAAAGTGAGCTTTCCAAGACATTCTGCAACGACATTGCGAGTACCTTCTTCTGTACATTCACAGTGTCTGTATAAAAGCATCCATATGGATGGTACAAAACTTTGTAAATGCGTTATACCGGAGGGACTTGCAGATTGACACGCGATAATCTGTAAGGAATTATATTTGTTGATAACATTTGTCAGCAAATATTATTATATTTTATATGTAAATCAATGTACCTCTTTTAAAGAGTGTAAAAGAAGATATTGACGTTTAGGTTGTGCTTCTATTTCTTTTAGTACGAATGGTAAATATTCTGGAAGATTACCAACAGCTATATTTCCTAAAGTATAACTAGCTGCTGATTTGACTTCTTCTGAATGAGATGAGAAAGATGACAAGATTGTTACTTTCAATTCGCCAATTCCGCTTAAGTCTCTGTAATTAAATGTACATGAAAATAATGAACGAGTACACTTACTTGTATTAATTAATTAATTAATTTAATGAAAGAAAAAACATATTTTTGATTTTCATTTAAACTTACACATGTTTACCGATCTCTCCGATAACTAGCAACGCAAAAATGTGTTGCGCGTCATTTTGTGGTTCTTTAACATCATTTAAAAATTGTTCAACGACAACTTGTGCTTCTTGCTGACAAGTAACTGTCAATGCAGCGGCACATTTAGCCAATGAATGATAAGCTTGTTTATGTAACACGGATTGATTGACTGGTGCTACTAACATTGTGAGCAACTCACGATAACCAAGTCCAGGTATATCAGCTTGTACCAATGCTTGGAAGAACTCAAGCATAGAACTTAATGCAACACCTGATAAACATCAATTCTTTATAAGAATATAATTTAATGAATTAAATGTGTATAATTCTTACCTTGAAGGAGTGGTGATTTAACCAACACTAATATCTCAGGTAAAATATTATCTGAAACTCTTGTTAATGAACCTGGATGTAATTTAGCAATTGTAGTCAGTAAATTAAGTGTTAATTGTGCAATATGTAAATCAGTCTCATTTAATAGAGCAGGTAATTCTGTTGTAACCTAAGAATATTCAAAAAATATATGCATATATTAATATTTATTAAATACATGGATGTACGGATAGGGTGTTCATATTGAAAATATAATTACCGTGTCTAATAGATCAAAGTGTAGTGCAGAACTGTAATTGCGTACTAAAGTATCCAAAAGTGGTAAGGAACACAATTTTAAAGCTCTCTGATTTTTTCTTAAAAATGATCCAAGAATGGGTATTGCATCTTCCTAAATAACAATGTTGTATATTTTTAATAACTTATTCTAACTTATAAGATAAGTGTGTGTTATAAAATACAGACCATTATTGGTTTTAAATCTACTCTTAAGGGTGAAGCGGCTATACAAGTTAATGCTTTAACAGTTGTGAGACGTGTGATTTCATTGTGTAATCTATCCAAAAATATGGGAAGGCATATATGTAATTCACCAGACAATGTATCACCGAAATGTGCAAGAATTTGTCCCATACAAGCGATGGCTCTTTCTTTGACTTCTTGATCTATGTCCGCTGTTCGTAACCTCGTTAATGTACATTGATAAATGTCAGAAGACAATGTAGGGAAATTGTAATAACATGTTCTCCCTGAAAACAAAAAAGAACAAAACAAGAACAATCGTTATCTTATATTATCATGTCATTATAATGTCAATTCTCTAAACAATCTTATTTACCATGAGGTCTAATAACTTGTACAAGTTGTTGTAACACTAATAATGCTTCTGCAGTGATTTTATAAAATGGATCTCCTACAGCTGATATAATTGGAGGAGCTAAAACTGCCATATGAGCATGAAATGCTTCAGGTTGATGAGTTACCAAAAGTGTATGTACAAAGGCTAAAGTATCGATTTTCATATTAGAAGAAGAATTTTTGTCTCCCAAAGAATATTGTATGCCTGGTATTAATGCGGGTATATGATTCGCTAAAGCACCAGGTAATACAAGAACTAATTCTTTAAGCAAAGAAAAACAATCTTGTCGAGTTTTGATGCTTTTCTCTTTCATCTGACGATGTACAGCTTTGATAATAAAAGGTACTTGTTGTTGCAACAAAGATACAGGACTACCATCGTCATCTTCCATTGCGTCTGGGTCAAGTGGTACACCAGTTGCAGGTCTTGTTTGTCTTAATAAAGCGACGTAGGCATGGAATATGTCTGATTTAACATTTTCTTCTCTTTCTATATAATATTGAAAGAAAATTGTATTCAAATTAATATATATATATATATTTCAAACAAAAAATGTATATTTGTTAACTTATATCGATTTGACTCTTTAAATGTTACGGACGTGTATATTGGGTCCATCAAAAATTATTCATTTTACGATGAAACAATTAAAGCTGCTTACCTTTGAATCTAGAAATTAATGCTGGAGATACAACTCTGTATAGTTCAGGTAAGAGTTCTCTTCTACTCGATACTACAGCTTCTAAACATTTAGCAGCTGCTCTACGTACTTTCCAGCTCATATCATCGTCATCTGAATATTCATCTTCTGCATCATCCTCACCATCTTCTTCTACTTCCATAATAGCTTCTCCATCAGAAAGATCGTTCATATCGTCGTCGTAATTGTAATTAGGATCATATACAATATATATCAAACAGATTTTGATGATCTAAAAAAGACAAATATAATATGAAATATATATAAATAAAAATCATCGTCATAATCATCCTGTTTTTATTGACCTCATTAATATGCGGTGTTATTTCTTTAGGACATCTATATACAAAAGCTTCAAATGCTTGCAAACAATATTCTCTAAGTTCATCGTCGTCCTCGTTACTATATCCTACTATCAATGGCATAACTCGTTCTATTTGTTCACCAAACCTATGTCCAGCTTGACGACTACAATCAAAGAATTATAAAATACTTTTTTGTATATATATATATATTTCTTTTGTTTTTTAATTTTTATAAATAAATAAACGAAGAAATATGATTTACCAAATCGATGCAATACACTGAATATATGTCCTGATAACACTTTTGACAGTTTGCGATGAAAGTCCCTCAAGGAGATGGTCCAAAAGTTTGTTGTATAAATAATTGTTACTCGATGTTAAAAGATGGCTCAATGCTACTATGGTACGTTTACGAACTGCTTGACGTGGGGAAGATAATTGTGGTAATAATGCGGTTAAAATAGTTGAATGAAAGGTCACCAATAAAGCTCCAAACCGAGACAATAAATCTGCTACAATATCAAGCGCCTCCAATTGAACGGATACATCTTCTTGCTGAAATCAAATGATATATTATGTAAGTAGCATAATTATTTATTTGTTTTCTTTTTTTCCTTTTTTTAATCAGTTAAGTGTGGCGATGATCTGTGCGAAGAGTGCGCTCCCGGTGTGTGTCACGATAATCAAGTGATGACGGATATAGTCGTCAAACACAGAGTAAGTGGCGCTTGCTGTTAAAATATTGGATAGTCAAAAAGACGACTTTATTTTAGAAAATGAACAATTTTGTTAATAATGTACACACAGTGTCTTAATATGAACATAAAAAAATTAGAGAAAAAATCGAATATTTATAGAAGTTATAAAATTTATTCTTGATCTTTTTTTTTGACCTCTAAACATTTGAAACATATTAAAATTTATGAATTAAATTTAGTTTTCGCTATCACAATTACAATTTAAATATCAAATTGTAACAAACTTTTACGCATTACGGATATAGACGTCATAATATAAACGTTTGCCACACACACATCTCCATGACGGATATAGTCGTCAAACACGCTTAACTGGTTAAATATGATAAATGTTATTATCCTATATATATATATATATATATATACCTTTTCAATAGCGCTACTTAATCTTCCAGTAATGCGTTTGCATACATTAGCAACCAATGAGCTGGATCCTAATGGAAGTTCAGAAATGACAGTCTTTAAGCCAATACTACAAATATCCCTTAGTTGTTCCTTATCAGACACCATATTACTGCATAAAGCATCAACAATAACTTCTACTTGATATTCCTTGACTTTATTGACTAGTGGACCTAAACTAAAATTATTAATACGCTTATAAGATTCATGAACTTTTGAAAGAATAAATAATAAATTATTAACGTGTTAAACACCATATTGGTCAACGAACGAAAATCTATCCAAAATAGGCACTTAACAATACTTTAATATTAATAATATATACCATTTGACAGCAAGATTCTGTACTTCTCCATTTTTGTCTTCCAATAATTTAAGTAACATCTTGACAACCTTACGTTCAGAATCATCGTCTAATTTAATACTATCCTTCTGTAATTCGCTCATCAAATCATTGGTCGCCATAAATCTAAAATCTTTATCATTAGATGTCATCTGTGAAAGATAAATTATTTATGAAGTAAGAACGACAATAGAAAGAGAGAGATAGATAGAGAGATAGAGAAAGAGAGAGAGAGAGAGAGAGAGAGAGAGAGAGATGTAATAATAAATTTAAAAATATAAGAGAAATAAAAAGAAAGGAAATATGAAATACAAATTATTATTAGAATAAAATGCCAATGTCATAATAATAATAAGATTAATAATAATAATAATAAATGAATAAAAATAAATCAAATTTGAATTAAATCGACGAGACATCTGTGAAAAATATTTCAAAGAAATAAAAGAAAGAAAGAAAGAAAGATAACCGTTAGGTTAAGTCAACAATAAACAAAATTTTAGCACAAATGATAAGTAGAAAACAAAAAGAAGGAAAATTATGAAATAAAAATATATGATTTATTTTAATAAATTGACATTTTTACCTTTTCCAGTAAATTTGCTATTTGATAAGATACGGTGGCCATGATTGCAAGATTTTCTTCACAGCCGGTTGAATTGTCGTTGCGATTTCTTTTTAAATGAAAAAAAAAAAAAAATGGCGTGAATATATATATATATCTAATTATTAATATATATATCTATGTATATATATATATATATATAAATATATTGTGTTAAAATAAATAAATGTATATGTATATATATATATATATATACATATATATATGTACATATAAATATCTGTATACATATATATATATATATATATGTATATATCTTATTTTTGTACTTTACTTCTTTTCTTTTCCTTCTTTAAAACTCAACAGAGAGATATTTAACATTCACTATTATATAGATTTATTTTTCGTGAAACTACAGGAACAGCACCATCATCTCAAGTACTACGAATTAACTTTGCGAATGTGGTAATAAAATGTCTCTTCTATGGATATATATTTGTTTTCGCGTTCCCAAATACGATTTTCAAAACTTATTGACAGTATATTTAGATTAATGATTATTTAAAATATTATTAATATTATAAAAATGGATAGAACTATGCGGGTTTTAATTTGTTCTCGCTTCTATACATTGCCAAAGTTTATATACTAATATATTTCTCTATATACGACAACATTATTTTTCCCCAGATTACGAGAATTATTATTGGTTAAATACTGGGGAAAATTTACATATATATATAATATATATATATATATTCTTCTTTTTATATTATGTATTTATAAATATAATTGACATGCTAAGAATATAAATTTATTATTAATTGTAAAAAAGAATATCATGTAATATAATTTTTAATAAAACAATTCTTCATTATTAGAATAATTATTTAGATATATTATTATTATTATTATTATTATTATTATTATTAAAATAAAAGAGTACATAATAAATGAAATGTTTTAATAAGTGAGTATTTTTAAAGTGTTCATAAATCTATAAATATTAATAATGAAAATCAAACAAATTAACATTTATGACATAATCAATTTGTCTAGGGAAATAATTGTTACTAACTCCACAATGTGATTTAATAACCTTTCTAAAGGATTTCCACTTAAGTCAAATGAAGGGGAAGTTACTTCCTACACTTAGGTCTTACTTGGCTCAGTTATTTTTCTCTTACAATTAGTAAAAAAAAAATTATGTTCAAGATAGATAGATAGGTTATAAAATTTTAATTGATTATCTTACATTTTTTTTCTTTTTACATTGTAACAACACAACACTTAAACTGTTTCAAATAATTCTAATACATTTAAATATGTTTCGTTAATGAAAAGTTATGAAAACTATGTCGATGGATAATATTTAAATGATTAAATGAAAATTTTATCTTATATTTAAAAATAAACTAAATTATATTTATCACTTATTATTATTTTCTTTTTTGTTCATAATCACAGTTATAATAAAGTAATTTGCTTTTGATAGCTCTCTTTCACTTTATGTCAACAATTGAAACTATATTAAATAACTTTGATGAATAAATTATAACAAAATTCTGTCTATATCATCTAAATAATAAAATAATTGATTCCTTTCATTTAATCATTTTCATCAATTGAGATATCACTTTCATTATTTTCTTTCTCATTATCCTGTAAAAATAATTATTTATATTTCAAAAAATATATCCATATATATATATATATGTAATTATTTATTTTATATTTACATGTGATGTGGATGCAACATTATCGTTATTGGTAATACTTTGATTCATAAAATTTGTTATTGGTTTTTGCCAATCTGGAGTTTGTCTTGGATGATATGGATTTCCACCAGAATAACTACTTGCTAAAAATAACAATAATATTATAATAGTAATAGTAGGATATTTAAAACAATGTTTATTCACCTTTATTATTTCTTCTTTTTTTTGCTGTACCTGTTGTACTTGAAACTTTATGTGGTGCTTTAGCACCAACAGCTACATACAAATTAAATAAATAAAATGATACAATAACATATATATATACAATATTAATTATTTATAAATTACTATATACTTGAAAATATTTAATATTTTCAAATATTATTTACAAAGTCAAAATTACTAATAAGATAAACATAAAAGAAAGTCAACAAAAAAAAAAAACAATCATAATTATTGTTTGTAATTATGTATTATGAAAAATAATTTTATTTAAATTTCTTTTTTACCTTTTCCAGGTAAACGATCTGCTTTGGTACGAACCATATTTCAAATAATATATTTCAATTTGATAAATATCCTTTAAAATATCCTTTATTTCTTTTATATAAATTTAAAGAAGTCCTTTATGTGTGTGTATGCTCTGTACAATGGAAACAGTTTGAAATTATAGGAATTTAAGTGGTACCAACTTTAAAGATAAAATAACATTTAGTAACTTGTCATAAAAAAAGTAACTTTTTATTGAAAATTTGAAATAACTAAGAAATTCACTATACGGTTGTCAAATTTACCGCGCAAATGTTAACCGTCATTCTTCTATCTACACGATCATTGGTTGATATTATATCATATATATATATATTTCTATACATGTGTATAAAACCGGTATTTAAGGAACTAACATTGTAACATTTTAAATAAGATTTATTAGATAAAAGTATAAGTGTTTATGAAATAAAAGTTAAATTAAAAATCCATAAAAATGTTCGAAGCTAATAGAAAGGATTATTCAGGATTATTGAAAAAACGAATGCTCATTGCTCTAATATGCAATGTCGTATTACAATTCATTCTTCTGTGCAGTTTGATTTTTATTATTAATGTCAATTTAAATGTTACGTTATGGATGCAGAATACGTGGGATTCAATATTATCATTAAAATTGCGAATATATTTTTTAATATTCGTTGGACTTCTACAAGGGATTCTACATTGTAATTATTATTTACATCGTCAGCCGTACATAAAGAATAGATTTTTGAAACTTCAACATATCTTTACCAGCCAATATTTATTAAGAGGTATACTTAGCGTTCTAATGGGTTGTAATGTGGCATGGTTACATTTGTCATTGAAGAAAGGTAATCATAATTTATTGATCGACAATTGCAATATACTTTATGGATCATGCCTGATAGAAGAACATTATTTTCTAATAATTGGAGGATTATGGACTGGATTTTATGTCTTCCTAACAACAGCTTGGTCTAATCAACGATGCTTTCATTTTAATATAATACCATTGACCAAATTTTCCAAATTTAAAACAGGCATTTGTCAAATATTATCTACATTACCATACATCTCATTTTGCCCAGTTATTTATTTCATGATTGGATACTTTCTAATGGGATCCTATATGCGTGACTTTATATTATCCATCACATCAGCACAAATAGATGTAAAACCATTGGATAGCTTATCAAGATTGTTAAGTATATCTCTAATATTCTATTTATGGGTATATCAATCGGTTTTGATATTTGTTAGTAAAACGACAACATTGTTATTGGAAATATTTCTAACCGAATGGATACCGTTAGAAATTCAACAAGCTAATGTCTTTAATAATAATATTTCAACGATAACATTGGCCGATGTTTTATCATCCGATGATATACCAATGCTACAACATTTAGCATATTTGGATCTTGTTACTTTGGCTGTTAAACAGAAGACAAGAAGAAAGATATTATTTACCTTGAGTCAACCTGGCGGTCATCCTTATAATTGGAATTGCATCATTCAAAAAGTTTTACATTTCATCAGTGGATTTACTAATGAGCTCAATGAGATTACCAATAAACCTAAGGAACAACATTTCTCATCTAAGATGATTACTTCATTAAATGCATCTAATTTGTCCGCTTTTAAAAGTGTAAGTGATTATACTTTTAATAATATGCGTAAATTGATAGTAGAGACAAAACCACCTATGATCAATATTGACGATTCCAAACCACCAGAAGTTAAATGGTTGACGTATAAATATTTTCTAAACAAGAAGGACAAAATAATATCGTATTTACTTTCAAAACCACTTATTTATTATGTATTCGGCGAACAAGAGGATTTAAAGATCGAATATGCCTTATTTAATTCACAAGCTGTAATATGGGCGATCGAGGCTGTCTCTTCTTTGGCTAATATATCTTTGGAAGAAGATTCATATGGTATTGTACAAAAAGATCTTTCAACTATATTTAATACGCTGTTAGCATTAAAGTTTAGTGTAGATAAGTTACATAAATCTAATATGTTAAATAAGAAATCTCACAATAGCGATAAATCAAGCGTCAAACTGATATTTAATTCTCTGAGAAGTGCGAGCAAAAGAAGTTTGTACAGAATAACTATAGGATTTCAAAGTTATATCAATGATTTATCTCTTGATCCTATGGTCATAGAACAATTACAGTGTTTTCTTAATTATAAAGAATAAAATATGATGAAATAATTATCTGTGATTTTACTGCCTTATTATAAATTTGTAATCAAAATACTTTAACATCTAGATGATTACATATATATATATATATATTTGTATTTACACTGTATTACATTATCTTACGATTTTATTTATAGTTATGATTATATATGTTCTACAAAATACTTTTTTTCTTTTCTTTTTTTTTTTTTATAATTTATATTTACATTTATTAATCAAATTCTTAAAAAAAAGAAAAAAAAAAGAAAAAAAAGTGGAAAAAGAAAGTATAAAAAAAAGTCTTACATTTGATTTATGTTACATTTTCTTAAGAGACTTTACAATACTAAGATTATAAAATAATTTTTCTCTAAGTGTCTGCCAATTTTTCAATTGTTGATCTTGCAAATATTCTAAATTATTTAATAATTTTGGAGTTTCAGATATTGTTTGACCGTGCCATTTTAAGAATACTCCTAGATAAGTTTGTGCCAATTCAAAATCAATTTTATGATCCATCATAAAACATAAGACTTTCATAAATTGTTGTAACAATAATACTTTATTGTCTTCTTCCGCCGAAAGAGATTGAATTTCAAAATCTATGGCACTTGGACCCATAGATTTTAATTTATCAATAACATCTATGAAATCTTTATCCGATTCTAAAGTGGAACACAACATTCTTCCAAATATCGTTAAAATTTGAAAATCTTTGTTATTTCGTAATCTTGGAATATCTGTTGAATTTTGAACATCTGACAAATCAAATTTGATATCCGATGAGGCAATGGTTGGTAAAAAGAATGGCGCCTTTTCTGAAGTTTGAAGAGGTTCCTTAGGTTTGTTCCTTTTTTTAATGATATCAATGTTAAGCAAATTTTTCCATCTAGATTGTGGCAATGAAGATATTGTTATTAAATTTTCACCAAGTTGTTGTGGAGAAACATATTGCGATTCTTCTTCATTAAGATCTTCATTGTTTTCTTGATTATCTTCTACTATAGAATTAGGAAGATCAATCATTGGTATTACATCTTCTTCTTTTATAGCTTTTAACGATACATGAGAATAAATTGTACGATTTGACCACAAATATATTCCTTCATTGCACATATGTGCCGTTGCAAGAAATTCTCCGGTTGGAGACAAATTTAAAGATATACAAGCATTTGATACCTAAATTATATTATATATATACATTAAATAATTGTCAAATAGATTCATTATACATAAATGAAAAGATTATAAGAAAACTTACTTGAAAAACGTCTATTAAATGAGACGATAAAATATCCCAAGTTCTTATTGTACAATCCATAGAAGATGTGATTAACCATTTTGCATCAGGACTAAATGTTGCATCAGTTAATCTTCCTTTATGTCCATAAAAATGTCGTATTATCTTTTTAGTATCTAAGTCAATTAGAATTATTGAAAAATTTTCCAATGCAACAGCTATGAAAGTACATTCGTTGTGATAACGTAACCATTCTATTGATTCTGGTAGCGTCATGGTCATTTTTAATCCTAAATCTTGATTTGAAATATAATATTAAATTAAAACAAATGATGAGAGAATACATAAAACAAAATATTTCGATTGAAATAAACTTACCTTGATGAGAATTAAAATCCCAAAATTGAATTAAACAATCTTTACCAGCGGTAACAACGATTTGATTCAAATCATCAACTGCTAGTCCTCTTACTGGACCTGTATGCTTATGTTCATTGCCATAACTAGTTTTATGAGTACCCGATTGTATATTAAATCGATCTACATGACCAGTACTGTATCCAACAATAACGAAATTTCCACATTTGGTAATGCACAAGCAAGTTGATGTGGCATTACGATCATTTTTAAACCTTTCAGGTAGTAACTTATGTTCACCCATTTTTAATAAATTATAAGACCAGGTAGTAACCATACCTAAACCAGAATGAATAGCTGCTATATTACACCATTCTTTTTCACGAGTTTTTTCTGCACAGAAGTATGTAATAGGTGGCATTATCATTGGATCTTCCACTGTTTTACTTTTTTTCTTGGATGATTTTCTATTATAAGAAGCTCTGCCTAAACTTTTGTTAAACGTTTCCGTAACAGTAGAAAATATTCTTAAAGATGAATCACCTCCTGCAGTCAATATATTATCATTATTGTTACCATAAAAACGTACAATTGTTGGTGGTTCGGCATGACCCTCTCTTATTTTTAATAATCTTGCACCTCCATCTGTCAAATCGAAAATCCATAATTTTAAAGAATTATCTGACGAAGAGGATACCAATAATGGTTCATTTGGTAAATATTTTAAACCAGTTACAGCATCAAAGTGTGCTTTGTTTAACTGGCTTTCAACTTTTCTCTGTTCAAGATTCCAAAATACGATTTGTCCGTTTAAACTTCCAGTAGCCATAATGGGATTGTTGTCGTTGCGAAATGAGATTGATATTACACTACCGGTATCTTGTATCAATTCGAAAAGTGTCTCATCAAATTTAAGGTTATGTAATATAATTTTTCCATCTAACAAACCAATAGCAACAACATCTATAGCTGGTGCTTGTTCTAAAGCGGTGATAGGTATATTCCATCCTTTGAAAGTATAAATCATCTTCATTGTCTTTAAATTCCATAATTGTAGGCTACCTTGTTTGCTACCTAACAAAACTTTGTTCATATAAGTAGCAGGATGTATCATGGTAGTTATTTCAAATTGATTATTAGAAAAGTTCAATTCTAAGATTAATTCTTCAGTTTTAATATCCCAAACCATGAGTGTACTATTCTCATCGATGGTGATTAAATGTGGACCAAAAGGTAATATAATATGTACAGTATAATTATGGCCTATGTAAGTGTGCTTCAATTCTGTACCTCTTCTCCATGCATAAACGATATTATCAGCGGCCGTATAAATGTGAAAAGAATCCGCAGATAAACAAGTTATATCGTCAGGATGTGTTCCAGATACACTTAATAGAGAAAAATGTGCACAGCCATAAGTATGAAATTCTTTACCTACACAGGTTACCAAAAGATTTTCTTTCCTTCTTTGAATATATCTCGTTACTACTGGTATATGATTACTAACGTAACCAAGCGCACGATTTCGTAAAAATATTTTACTGTGTGCCATTTTTTTCAAATCTTTATATTTGTACCTGTTGTAGTATTTTAAAATAAAACTGTATATTTGTAATAATAATACCTCGTGGTCGCGCGATCGTACAGTAAACAGTACTAGACTAACTAAATACTGCGCATGCGTATAATGCCTCGTGGTTGGATTGTAAACTAGCGACATTGTGGATTTTTTAGGAAACTTATCTGAATAAGAATGTCACGTGACGACACGTTGAACAATTTGAAATTGAGCGGTAATTATTGAAAGCAATTATAATAAGATTATTTATAGATTATTTTTATCTTTTATCATATTAGTTAAGAATATGTATATATATATATATATGTATAAATAAAAAATTATTTCTCAAATAAATTTCTTTACTTATGAAAATAAATGTAATTAATCATAATTAATATACTACGTCGTTGTCCACAATAATTTATCGCGATTTTAACAAAATTGAACAAATTAATATTATGATTATTATGAGAAGTATGTATGATAATATTATAAGAGTCAACGTATTAGTGTAATTATGTGCTTTTGATATTACGTTTGAAGGAAATAGAAAATGCATGTAAGTCATTTATTATGAGATATTTCTTTTTTTTTTTCTTCTTTTATCTTTCATTATTGCATTAATGCTAAGGCCACCATTTTGAACACACCACGTATTAACTTCGAAACATTTAATGTAATATTGTAAATAGAATGTAAAAAATGCACACACTGGACAATATATGTATGTATATATGTATCTTATTTTTTTCTTTTACTTTTTCGCAAAATCATTATTAAGTATTATTATAATAAATCGTAAGAAAAATTGAAAAAATGTTATATACTAAGTAATTCGAGCGTGTATACATACACGTATGTATATACATTAACATATACAATCGTAGATAATTATTGAATTTTTCTTATAATATAAGGGAGAAGAAGAAAAAAAAAAAAGTTAAAACGAAAAGAAAATTTAAATACATCCTTGCACGTGTTATTTTTATGTTTACACATTACGTATAAGTAAATAAGACACTGGTTTTAAGCGTTTGCGGCATTTATCGATAAAGAAAAATCGAATATATCTCTATGTAAATATTATATATATATAATATCAGAATATTTTTTTTTTTTTTTTTTTTTTATAAAATTGACGAGATCGGTAACGATGGGATCTACTTTATTAGCGAGAACAACAAATTGTGTTTTTCCTATTTTTGTCTTTCTTCGAACCACACCATTCTTCTTTAACATAAATCGGGACGTATAAACGAAAGATTAAAAAGAAAAGATATAAAATAATAATAATAATAATAATAATAATAATAATAATAATAATAATAATAATAATAATATTAATAATAATAATAATAATATTAATAATTAAAAATCGTGATAGATAAAGACAACAGAAAAAGGTGCGATTTTGAAAAGCTTGGCAGCATGTTGTTTGTTCATCCCTTACCAAAACAACAGAATTATTTATTTTCAAAATCGCAAATTTGCAAATGTATATGTGTGTATATATATATCAGGCATTGTTTCTAACATTTTGCGAGGAGTCCTGCATGAAATGGAAAAGCGGAGTTCTAAAAAAGTTAGTAACATTTATAAAAAATTTTCAAAATGGAAACATTATTTAAATAATTAATTAATTAATTAATCAATCAATCCAATTAAATATGAAAAATATTTATGCGTATAAATATTCATTTATATAATTATTGAAAAAGAAAAATTATACTTGACATTTTTTTTACAATTTTTTGCGCTTGACAGGATCTTTAGCGACACAGGGGGCCCTGTGTCATCGCACCATTAACAAACCCATGAATATGGCCTTGGTAAGTACATATATATGCCTGTATATATATATATATATATATATATATATATATATATATATATATATATATATATATGCCTGTTTTAGAAAGAGAAAATTATGTACACATCATCATCATCATCATCATCATCATTATCATTATATTCTCGCGCGTAAAGTTAGTATAATTACTTTGTTTCCTTATATATATTTTTTTTGTATCTACCTTTTTGTTTTCTTTTCTTTTTATTCTTTTTTTATTATTCTTCTTTTTCTTTTTATTAATTAATTAATATTCCCTATATATATATATATATATATATATTTATATAAACTCTCTTAATACTATCCGTCTAATGCTAAAAACTTTCATTTTTATTGTTTATGGCAAATACACGTGTTGAAATATTCGTTGTGCGAATGTGTTTTCTTTTCTTTTCTTTTTTATATTTTTTTTTTTATTTATTTATTTATTATTACTATTATTAAGGAAAAAACAACAACCTCAAGAGAGAAAATAATTCTTTTCCCTTTCACAAATATTTCTTTTTTTCTTTCTTTTTCCTTTTACCCATTTCGCATTTTAATTTGATGTATCTAACGAGTTTCAAGGTAGCACGTGTATGCGTGTAATGTGTATTTTATGCGTAACTATAATATTATTTTAATTTATTGATTGTGTTTGATATACAAACTTGACGATAAAGAGAAAGAGAGAGACAGAGAAAGAGAGAAAGAGAGAGAGAAAGAAAAAGAAATCATTTGTAATTTAAAGGTAATTTTTAATTAAAATCGTGTCTCTCTCTCTCTCTCTCTGTCTGTCTGTCTATTTCGCACTTTCGACACATGTTTTATTTTTATTATTATTAATTATTCATTTCTAATTTTACTATTTAAAGTTGTTGTTGTTGTTGTTGTTATCATATACGTTATTTTAGTGGCTCGCAATTATTCATTGAAAAATAATAGTTTATCCTTCTTCTTTCACGATAGAGAGAGGTTGAAAAACAAAAACGAATGAAATAAAATTACAATAAAATAAAAATAAAAGTAAAAATAAAAACTGATGGATATTCGCGAGCATTAAATTAATCAATTAATTAATTTTCTTTTGTATGCTTCTAAGAAAATTGACGCTGAAGTTTTGCACGCACGTATATATATATATATATATATATATATATAAGTGCAATAATTAGTATCGTATCGGTTGCCAGACACCGGTTGCTTCATCCCGACGATAATAATGAGGCCTATTATCTCGGAAAACGGTAACAGCCGGAAATTGATTGTCCTGGATATATTTAAGCGTTGCTCGTATCTGAAATATAAAATGAAGAGAAGAACAGAATAAAAATAAAAAATAAAAAAAAAAATGAAAAAAAGGAGCCCCATTTAACGAAAAAGTATTTTTTTTTAATATACATACAAATTTCATTGGATTATAAAAAAGGGGGGAGAGGGGAGGGAGAGGGGAGGGGGAAAGAATAAATAAATAAATAATCACCTGCGACGCAAAATGAGGAAGTTCAACTTCCGGTGACGTCGATAGATGTTGAAGGATGAATTGATCGGTTTGAGATAGCCAAAGGTCGACACCTCTCAAGGGATCGTAATTAAAGGGACCGATTCTAAGTAATCCCAGGTTGTAATCGTACACGTCGAGAACCTACAAATTTTCAAATATATATTATTATTATTATTTGTACAAATGAATTTGAAAATAAATATTCTTTATTGAATTTAATAAACGTCGAGTCGCGATTCGCGAATTATTCAACCGATTTATTATTTTGAATTCAACCACTTTTTAATCATATCCATCACTCACGTGTATATTTTGTTTTGTTTTCTTTTAATTTAAATTTGTTTAAATATTTGTTTTTTTTTTTTCAGATTCTAACGTTTTGTTTTTCTATTTCATAATGTTGTCCAAGTTTAAAACAAAATGGCCAATTGAAAATTTGAAATTTGCATAAAACTCGTGCATATAATTGTATAATTATATTTCAATGTGGTGTACATATATATAAAAATGCGACATGTCTTTTTCATCATCATTTTTCTTTTCCATTTAGATAACAGCGCACATGCACCTGTTGACCTCCGGTTAACTGTCTGGCACACCTGAGCGGCTGATCGGGGCCCTTGTCAGGGAAGGTTGCAGGGAAGATCTCGCCGGTCTTCAAGTTCAATCCGATACCATAGATCACAGGCCAATGGATGCCACCTCTTACGGTGGTATTTAATTCACCGACACAGCACAACGTTAAGTCGATTTCGACGGGTTGTTTTTGAAAGGCAGCTTTTCCAAAAATACAAACATTAATTCGAATTATTAAATGCAATTGTAATTGACATAGAATTAATAATATTTTTACTTCATAAATGACCTTAAATGAATTTAATTTGATTAACATGGTGTGTTTTTTTTATTTTCCCAATTAAAAAAAAATAAAAACAACACAACAACAATATATACAGAGATTTTTCCGTGATTTTTAATTTAATTGAAAAGAAAAGAAAAAAAGAGAGAGAGTTAAACTTGTTTTTTTTTTTTGTTATAGTTGAATACTTACATAAAATATTATAAAACAATTCCTCGGAATAATTTCTTGGATCGGAATAACCACCGACCAACTGTAATTCTAAACGACCTTCCGGAAAGCCAATAGATAATTCTGTCACCCTTTGAATCATGGCGGCTGCGGCATCTTCCGTACCTGCGCCATCCAGGTGTGCCAAGGCTGATGCACCCGAACCTAACAAATTTAAATAATATAATATAATATAATATAATATTTACAATTTCTAATATGCTTTTATTTACAATTCTAATTAATTCTAATTTATTTATTATACTTTTATATATATTCCGTCAATTTGAATAATTAATTATTATTCAATCAAATCTAAATGTAATATATATGTATATACATATATATATATACACACACACACATAGTGATTCATTTGAAATTATATAATTATATATTACGATGTGATTGATTTAAAAGAACATTATTTGTAAATTTTTTTTTTTTTTATACATTATTAATACGTTAGAAATAAAAATTACTCTTATACATTTTAATATAATCATCATCTTCTTCTTCTTCTTCTTTTTTATTTATTTCAAATATAAGGGCTAGATTATGTGCTTGTCGTTTTCTCCTTTCTCAATGGTATTTACATAAAGAGAAATATATCTATATATGTATGTGTATGCATGTATGTATAAAAGTATATACTCACCGGAATGCTTCACGACGACGATTATGCACGTAGTCATGTCGTCCGAGCCGAGGATGCTCACGTTCTCTGCGAAAGGAAAAGAAGAGGAGAGCACTTAGTACGGTGAATTCCAAAGTGGCTTTTCAAAGAGTATATATGTGTATGTATTATAAGCCATGGTAAAACCTATTTTCTCACGCTACTTGTGTACTTTGAAATAAAAAAAAAAAAAAACATTAATAAAAAGTAAAAAAAATTGAAGAAAAATCCCCCCCCCCAAAAAGAAAAGTATAAAAAAGGGATAGATAGATAGATAAATAAATAAATAGATAAGTAGACAAAACTAATATAAAATATTATTTTCTTATCTTCAATAATATATATGCGACGTTATTATTTTTTATTTTTCAAATGTAATATATTATTTGTTGATTTCTTTTGTATTCTCTTTTTTTATATTAACACTATTCGCGGCTGACATATTTTTTCCTTTTTTAATACTGAGTACTGGAAAAAATAATGAATTATTTAAATATTATATTTAAATAATAAAATATAACAATATAATAAAATATAATTATTTAAATATTATATTTAAATAATAAAATATAATAATATACTAAAATATAATTATTTAAATATTATATTGAAATAATTAAATATAAATTTAATATATAAAATTTATATTTATATATTTATATATATATATATATTTGTGTATATAAATTTTATATATATATATATATATATATAAATTTATTTTTATAAAACTTTGAAAAGTTAAAATAACGTGAATCACGTCAGCAAAAATTAGGAATAGAACTTGAAAAGACGTGAATTTACGTCAGCGGTCGCGAATGTGTTAACAAAGTAATAATAATTAAGTATTATATATTTATATATATTATTCTATATATAGTATTTCATGTAAAGTATAATTATTATTATTATTATCTTGACTTGAAATTTCGTCATTTAGAAAAGAAATCATTAAAGTTTAACCCAATTTAATATAATCTTTTTAACAAAAGCAGGTTGCGTCAATATCTCAGCTTGATATCGCATTTAAATCGTCTTACCAATGTACATTTCTTCATTTCGATATCATTTGAAATATATGTATATATGTATATATGTATATATGTGAAGAGTTGTGCGCGAGAGTATTGGGTCAAGTTTTTAATTTTTTTTCTCTCTCTCTCTCTTTCTTTCTTTCTTTCTTTATCTCTTTTTATTATAATCTGTAAATTATTCTCATTTTAGATAAACAATGACGAGTTAAAATACGAGTTAAATATTTTTATGAAAGTTTCTCGTTAACAACGTTCATCAGAAAATCATTAAAGAACATAATATTAATAATAATGATGATAAAAATATGATATTATACTAACTATCAACTGGTACAGTGGCTGCCATTTCTCGTTGTTGAACGTACAAAAGGCCGACAGGGCCCACCAATTTTGCAGGTATTGAGTGAAGTTGCGTTGCAGTCTCACGATATATAGGGTGTGACACGTACAACGATCTACTGTCCGTTGGGACATCTTCCTGAAGGACCCCGTTTAAAATCAACACCATTCTGAAACGATATACATACAATAGATTAATAATACAATAAATTAAAATTATCAACAAAATTCTTGCACAAAAAAAGAGTTTATATGGATATAATATTAAGAATAAAAAAATTGGATATGAACATACATCATAGACATATTAAATTGCTGTGACTTGTAATATATTAGAAATGAAATTAAACATTGCGTATTTATTATATTATATAATTGTATTATATTATTTATATTTATTATATATTATATTATTATTAGATAATATAGTTTGTATTAGAGATTTTATATTTGTATTATATAATATAATTTGTATTAGATCAAATTTGTATTATATGATATAATTTGTATAAGATTATATTTGTATTATATAATATAATATTAAAATTGTATTATATTATTATTATATAATGTAATTTGTATTATATTATATATTTGTATTATATGGTTATTATATTATAAATTGTTTTATATTATTATATAATATAATATTATTATTATTATATAATTGTAATTTGTATTATATTAATATTTGTATATTATATATGTTTATTATATTATAAATTGTTTTATATTATTAATATTATATAATATGTTTTATTATTATTATTATATAAATATAAACTGTATTTTCCTTAATATATTTGTATTATATGTTTATATTCTATTATAAATTGTTTAATTTTATATTTTTAATAAAATATAAAATATTATATATTATTATAATCGCGACCTGCCAGGATTCGAACCCTCGAATACCGTAAGAGAGAGAGTACGAGTCGGTAACTCTAGCAACGAGCTACAGATCATTATCATTGAATTATATACTATTATATAATATAAAATTAATTGTATTATATTATATTTGTATTATACGTTTATTATATCATAAATTGTTTTATAAATTGCATAATTGATTTGTAATATTTTTTTTGGAAATATTAATAAAAGAAAAAAATGCACAAGCAGTGTTCACCCTAACACATTTATATATATATATATATATTCTATAAAGGGGAGTGAATGGTGGGTGGTGTGGTAGGAAGAGGAGTCCCCAGAGTCCTCCTTGTTAACACGATTAAACACAACGGAACGGTCGACACGGGTTGGCACGAGTGCCAACAATGCCTGGGTTGTCTGTGATCTTCGATCTCTTGATCCTGTTACCGCCTTTGTCATAATGCCTCGTGTATAGATCGTGCACCCAGATAAATCGCGCGAGGACTTCATTGTGAAGAAGAAGAAGAGGGTTTATATATGTGTATTATATATATATATATATATACGATAAATGTTACGGGAGGTCGGTGAAATATCATGGAGAGGGGAGGAGGATAAACCAATCGCATTCAAAGAATTACTCTTTTTTCCTTTTTTTTCCCTAACCTCTCTTTTTTAATAACATTTAATAAATAAATAAATAAAAAAATAAATGTAATGGTTAATTAATTTTATGTATATATGGAGAGGAGAGTGTGTAAAAAGGTGTGTTATTTAAATAAATATATATATCAAATGTTTAATATCATATTTTGAATACTTTATAATTAGTGGTCTTCATATTGTATTCCACGGAATTCCTACGGGTTTCATATTACTTTATACAATGTTTTACGAATTTCTCTTTTTCTTTTTAGACATATTCCTATCGTTTGTTTTGTAATTTTGTATTAATTTTGAGTTTTGATTAAAGTAGTACATAAGAAATGAATTGGAGGTTATTCAAATACAAAATGGCGTAATATTTTTAAGTTTTTTCAAAATACATATGTCGAGTTATTGCATACTGCATCGTATATTTGTATAATTATATTATACAAACAATGAATATATATTTATTATTAAATTTATTGATATTATAACGCGATTAGAAAAATAAATAAATGAAAAAGCAAAATGAAAATGAAAAAGCAAAAAAATATAAATACGGAAATACGCGATATTAAAAGCTAGTTCGATTCAATTCCGATATGCAAAAATAAAAAAATAAACATCGACTGACGCGAATGCATAATTGAAAATATGCGTGACGTTTGTTTTCGATTATCGAAGAATATACGAAATTAAAATCTCGATAATTAACTATCGGAAGTTCGAGAAAATCTTGCGAGAATAGAAAAGAATTAATAGAAAAAAAAAAAGAAATTAATTTAAACAAAACAATTAAATAAGCAGGATTTATCATAAAAGTCGAGTAAAAAAAAAAAAGAAAATGAAAATAAAATAGATAAATTCATAAATTGATAGAAAGAAAGATTGTTATGTTTAAATAATATAAATAGAAGAAGAAAAAAAAAATAAGAAAATAATAATAATCATTATTTCATTTGACGATAAAACTTGTATCCCACAAGTGTGGTAGTAAGTATGGTGTTGCTTAGGTTTTAAAATAGATGTGTTTCTCTCTTTGAAAACAGATGTGTTTTTAGCGAGTCGTATAGCGACAATTTTAAAAAAACAGGTTTACTACATTTGTCATTTATTTTGTTCTTATCTAATTATATCTTTTCTACATTTCTTTCCTTTTTTTTTTTTTAATCAATGTAAATATAAATAAATAAATAAATAATATCTTGTAGAAAAGATAAGTAAAAAAAAAATTTAATAAAAAATCAATACTACTACTACTACTACGATGAAAATTCAAATTCAAATTCAAATAAAACACGTGTCGATCTTCATCGATCATTCAAATTATATATATATATAGTATATAATTTGTAGTATATATAGTATAATATATATATATTATTATATAGTATACTATAGTATAGTAGTATAGTATAGAATAGTAATGGCGGGATTTGGTATTTGCGAAAATGAACTTTCGAGTTCCTAATGCCACTTATTAATAATAATAATAATAATAATAGTACTATTTTATGTATAAATAGTATTATATAATTCTATAAATATACTATATAATATTAATTTAATATACTATACTATATATAATACTAATATACTATATATATACTATATATTATATAGTATACAATATTATATAATATATTAATATTATATAATATATAAGTATACTAATATATAGTACTAGTAGTATAATATTATATAGTACTATATTATAGTAAAGTTATATATAGTACTTTAGTATATAAAGTAAAGTAGTACTATATATAAAGTATACTAATATATAGTACTATATTAGTACTATATATATAATATAGTAGTATTATAATATTATATAGTACTATATTAGTAGTAATATTAGTACTAGTAGTAGTAGTATATTAGTAGTAATATATATATATAAAGTATACTAATATATAGTACTATATATATAATATAGTAGTAGTATAATATTATATAATACTAATATATATGTGCATCGTATGTAACGTATATTTGTTTCATTAATTTTTCATGTATACTATCTATGTATTATAGTACGTCACACAAATCTAATTAGTATTCTATAAACAGAAGGAAATATGGCAACATAATTACAGGTTGTGCTTTTGATAGTACAGTAAGATTATAAAAAATTGTTCCTTTTATACACCTTATGCGAACATTATATTATGGTAATTTGTATTAAAACATGACTATTTCATTGTGTAATTTCTTTCATCGACGTAACACGTTCAATCTATGTATATATGTATATATTTTGAGAAATTTTTCATATCTTTCGTATGAAAAAAAAAAAAAAATTTGAAGATATGTCGACAATTTTGTATGATTAAAGTATTATTTTTAATATTTATCGAGAACACAAAAAAGAAAAGGAAAAAAAGAATAAAAATACAAGAAAATAAAATGAAAAAAAATGTAAATGCGAGAAATTGAAAATTTGGAAGAAACGAGACAGAGAAAGAAAGAGAGAGGGAGAAAGAAAGAGAGAGAGAGACAGAGAGAGAGAGAGAGGGAGACCTTGGAAAGATAAATTTCTTTTCTTTATTCCTTTCGTGATCTTTTTTAAGAACGTTTTATCGTTCGTAACAAGAACACACATAAGTTCTCGAGATCTTCTAGAAAGAGAAAATATACTTTGGAACATGCTGACGAGAAACGATAAAACTCAAGAGAAAAACAATATTATTAATGTAGTCTTACGATATGATATTTATTCTTTATTTTTTGTTGTTATTTTTCAAACGATAATTAAACGATTATTTTACAAAATATCAAAAATAAAACTTACGTCGATTTAAATTTCTTAATAAAAATAAAATAAAATAAAATAAAAAACAATAAAAAAGAAAATTCGTGATGAATTTTTACCTGTCTCTGTTTGTTTCTTTCCACCTCCACCATTCACCACCACCACCACCACCACCTCCTCCACCTCTTACTTCTATTCTTATACTTCTTTCTTTTTGTTTTCTTCAATATATATATATATATATATCTATATATGTATGTATGTATAAAAGAAAAAACAAAATAAGAAAGAAAATTGAAGTTACACCCGTTATATGATTTTATTTCTCTTTCTTATTAATTACGATTTATGATATTTTTGATTTAGAAACTTATCAACGTTCATGAAAAATATAACAAAATATATATTGCTCTTTACTTCCTGTTATTTTATATATTAAATAATAATAATAATAATAATAATAATAATAATAATAATAATAATAATTATAAAAAATATATTACGAATCAATAGAAATGTAATATATCGATACACAAAATTACAATTTGAAAAAAGTATGTTGTATAAAATTAATTTCGTTGTATAATCGTCGTGAAATTTGCATATAATTAAACGACACTTTTATTTGCATATATACATAATATATGTATATATACATAATATATGCAAATAATTTTAATTTACATATTAACGATAATTAAAAATTCACAAAATGTTTTTTTTCTTTTTTTTTTAAATTAAAAACACGCGCGTTCGCGTTTGTTTCACTTTTCATCAATTACATTAGATTAGATTTTTAATAATATCAAAAATTGTTTAACAAATATATATATATATGTTTTAAATAATTGATATTAAATTATTAAGAAAATATTGTGTAAATGTTTT